AAGTCCAATTACCCAACAAAATGGACTTTACAACAATCAGCATCAAGTGTAGTCCTTATCTTTTCAATTTTCTCTTCCTTCTACTTTGGTGCTAAGTGAAATAATGACTAGTTTTCTTTACTTCATTCTTAATAACAATGCATCTCATATCTAGGCATTTCTCTATCTCTGAGAGACCATGTGGCCATGAACTGCTTTCTCTCTCCAGTGACCAAGGACAACTCATACTAAAAGTTCACTCTCTTTTACTCCAGGCACAGGGACCATCCTCTTTAGACTCTGCTGTATTCTTCCTTTCTGAGAGTTGAACCACTCCAAGAATTTGGGGTTATATTTATCTCTGTGCTCCAACAGAAATAAATGCATGGGGCTGGGGATGATTAATACAGGATAGAAGTGGATGGAGACATGTTTTCTCTTAATTTATTGAGGAACTGTTTTAAGGATAGTTTGGGGAGCATACTACTTAGTTCTTGCTAATCTCCAATGATTTCTCATGAAAACTAAAGAGGGTTCAGATTAGACCTATCAAGGAAAAAAGTTGAGAGGGGATGGGTGATAGAACTTAAGTTTGATATTGGCTAATTGATTTTAATTTCAGGGTCACTGAGGGCAGGAAAACGGGAGATCAAATCAGTAAGACCAAGAAAGCAACTCCTATGCTCTTGCTTGTTGTACTTTAAGAGCAGAAAGAAAGAAAGAAAAGGAATAGAAACCAAACCAAACATGTAGTCTTTATATAAATGTGTTGCCTCGCATTGCTGCAAAGTAGACAGGTGAAGTTAATAACCCAGTTTATCAATAACCCGGTTTAACGGCAGACGACGATAGAAATTCAGGAGGTGACCACATGCCTTATCTTAAAGGAAAAGTAGGACTGTCTTTCCACATACCCAGTGAGTCTCAGGGAGTAACTAGGAAATCCTTTATTCATCTTTTCCCTCCTCATTTAAAATACAGTTCATCACTCTCTGTTCCACAGCGCAGAGTTCCCTGGCTTCCAAGTTCTAATTTCTCCCACACAATTAAGCTCAAGAGGAGATTTTGAGCTCTGTGCTGTAGTGTCTTTTACATGAACACTAAAGTTAAACAAATGTTATTTTTTTCAGTGTGAGTCATTTCTCATAACTCTAATTCTAACCACTCTCTTCTTAGTGTTGAATTAAAGAGTCAGAGAATCTGGTGTTTCCAAATCAACAGACTGTCCTACAAGTGTTACTAAAGTAAATCTTTACAACACATGTCCCAGTATAAAAGGGAGGATGTACAGATTCTGAGACACTTTACTTTATGAAAATCCAGTGAGTATTAAGAGTGGACTCTATCCTTTAATCTCACCTTTGCAAGAATGGGCAGTAATGCCATGTAAAAAGTTGAAATTAAATAAAACTAGAAAACAGACTGTCATTTTAAGAAAAGGTAAATTAAACTAGTTTTATTTGACTGTCTTCCCTTTTCCTTAATTTTACACACACACACACACACACACACACACACACACACACACATCCTATATTTTTTACCTTTCGTTGTTGTGATAGAAAACCCTGATGAAAAGAAAATTAGAGAGGAAAAAGTTAGTTTGTTTACAGTTTCAGAGGAATAGACTCCGTCAAGGTGAGTGCATGGCAGTAGGAGCCTGGGGCTGGCCTGGAGAGGTAACATTTCACCCAACACAAGAATCAGAGCGAGAACAGCAAGTGGGGACAACTTATCAAAAAGTCCACCCACAATGGTGCACTTTCTCCGGCTAGGCCTTACCAACTGAAAGTTCAACAATCTCACCAAACAGTGCCAAAATCTGGGGACCATATATTTAAATAGATGAGTGTATGGAGAACATTTCTCATTCAAACCATCAAGCAGCCTTTCTATGTATATGCATTACACACACCCTAATTATATGTAGTCACACACATATAAACACACACATATATTTAACTTCTAAAGAAAACACACACACACACACACACACACACACACACACACACAGAGTTTCCCTAGATACCTTCTATTAGTTTTCTGTCAGGTTACTATTTTGGTCTCAGAAATTGTTAAAATGATTGAATCAATAATATGACTAAATTGATCAAGAACATGTAAAAAATTAGATGTCTAGAAGCAAAGCTATTATTTCAAATAAATATTTTCTTCTCTTAAAGTTGTCAAGTTGACTTGATGGTGTGTTAACAGTCTCAGAGATTTTGAGTTGTGTCCAAGTTTGCTTCTCTGTTGCTATACTAAATGCCATGACTAAAAGCAACTTGGGACAGAAAAGGTTTATTTCTATCTGCAGGTTACAGTCCTTCATTTGGGGACGCCAACATGGGAATCAGAGGCAGAAACTTGAGCAGAGACCAACAAGGAAAGCTACTTACTGACTTACTCACCCTGGCTTGCTCAGCTCCTTTTCTTATATAGCCCAGGCCCACCTGCCCAGGGGAGGTACCTCCCATAGTGGGCTGGGCCCTCCTATATCAATCACAATCAAATAAATGCCTCACAGACATGGCCACAGACCAATCAGAAGGAAACTATTCCTCAATCGTCATTCCCTTCTCTCAAGTGTGTCTAGGTTTGTGTCAAGTTGCAAAAACAAACCAGAAAAATCTGTGATCATGCAAAACTGGTGAAAGGAAGAAAGAGAGAAAGAGAGAGAAAAGAGAGAGAGAAAGGAAGGAAGGAAGGAAGGAGGGAGGGAGGGAGGGAGGGAGCTGGGAACAAATTCTTTACCCCAAGGAGGATGCAGTTGACTGGGAATCACATGGAGACCAAAGGGCTGGAAAGGTACCAAAGCAGGCAGCTCTGTATGAGCTAACTTAGCGTTATTAGGTACAGTTAATTGGCAGCCATTGTAAGCTAAAAAAAAAAAAAAAA